GGTAATTTCTCGTTCACCCAGATCTTTTTAACCAACCGATGTATTTTAGAAACTCCAGCTTCCCCGCATGCCTTAATTAGTTCAGTAGGAATATTATCGATTCCCGCTGCTTTATATGATTTTAATTTTCCGATAGCTACTTCAACTTCCTCTTTACTTGGTCCTTCTATTAATGGTTCAGCACTCTGGTACTCAGAAGGAGGACACAGATCATAATTTCCCGTATTTAAAATATTGTCAAAGTGGTCCTTAAACTTATTTAATATGTCAACCGGATCGGTCAGAATATTGTTATTATCATCCCTAATTCCAGACGTTACGGGCCCTACATATTTACGTGATCTGTTTATGCCTTTGTACATGTCTCTTACGTTATTTTCGATTCTATTAGTTTCTATTTCAATTATTTTATTTTTAAGATACTCCCTTTTTTTATTTTTGAGCAATTTTGTCGTTTCGTTCTTTGAGATTCGGAAGTATTCCAGATTGTCTTCGCTAGGATTATTTAGAGCTTTTAATTTAGCGGCTTTTCTTTTTTCACACATGTTTAAGCAATCTTCATCAAACCACGGTTTGTTATTCTTATTTTCCTTTTTTCCTAGACACGAGTTACCGACCGCTTTAATATTATCCCTGATCTCTATCCATAACTTGTCAATATCCTCGTGGTCCTCGTCAGGAAGCTCTAAAGCTTCAAACCTATTCTTAACATCTAGCTCGAATTGGTTTCTAATTGATGGATTTTTCAATTTTTCCAAATTAAAATTCTCAAAATCGAAACGGTTTTCTTTTCTCTTTTTTATATTAAGTTTTTGTCGAAGTTTCGCGATTACTAATTCATGATCCGACCCACATTCTGCTCCGCGATAAGACCGTACATTAATTATACTGCTTTGCCAGCTATGTTGTATCAAGACATGATCGATTTGATTTCGTGTTTGCGAATCCGGTGATGTCCAAGTATATTTATGAATATCCTTGTGTTTAAACGTCGTACTTTTAATTATCAGGTTTTTCGAGATGGCAAAGTTTATCAGACGGATCCCATTATCATTACTATATTCGTGCAAACTTTCTTTACCAATCGTCGGAATATAAACTTCTTCCCTTCCTACCTTTGCGTTCGCGTCACCTACAATTATTTTCATGTAGTTTCGCGGTAGTTTATCATAAACCCATTCGAGTTTATCGTAAAATTCACTTTTGACTTCATCGTCACTGTCTTCGGTCGGACAATGTATGTTTATTAATGCGATTTTAAACCAACGTCCCTGAAATGTAGCTACCGAAATTCTATCACTAAAGAATTGTACGTCCCTCAAAGCGGATAGTAATCTACTCCTAATTAGAAACCCGGTACCCAAACAATGATTCCCGCTTCCTCCGTACCAAATAGTGTACTTTCCTTCCCTCATCGAGCCCTCCCCTGGCCAACGAACCTCTTGCAGAGCCACGACATCCAAATTGTACCCATTTACCTCATTCGTGACCGATTTTAGCCCCCCTGCTGTGTTTAAACTCCTTACGTTCCACGTACCAATATTTAAATCCCTATATTTCAACTTGCACCATGAATCCCCTAAAGCAGTCCCCACCCGGAGACCCGAACGGGGGACTAGTTTACCTCCGGATAATGAGCGTTTTACCTTAGGGAGATCCATGACTTTTTGTGGTGTTTGGTGAACTAAAGATATGTGAGTAGGGCATTCAATCCTACGTCACACCCTCCAGCAAGTCTGGTGGGCCCCTACCTCCAGCAAGTCTGGAGGTCCCCTCCCTCCAGCAAGTCTGGAGGTCCCCTCCCTCCAGCAAGTCTGGAGGGCCCCTCTCATTGTTGGTCAGCGAGTCCATCGGACTTAGCCGGGAGGAACTTCCAAGGAATTTCCACCGACCATCCCCACATCCGCCACCCGTGGGACGCTTCCCATACGCGGTAATGAGCCCGCGCGAGGAACTTAAGATATATATATATAAAAAAAGTATTAGGATTGTCCATGGGATTAAGTGAAGTCAGCCATCAGTACGATACATCACAGATATATATACAGGGTATGCTGTAAATAGAGGGAAATTTTTATATGAGTGATAAATGGGGCAGTGTGGCCGAATGGGCTAACGCGCATGCACAGCGATAATAACAGCACCGTGAGTTGCCCAGCAACCAGATAACCGAAGTTATGAGATTAAAAAAAAAAAGTATGAATTCGTGTCCTGGTGCCAGAGGGGATTTTAAATCACCCTCCGGCCCGGGAAAATCCTATATAGCCTATAAGATGAGTGATAAGAGACATTAAAAGCTACAAAATAGTTCATATAAACAATGGGCCTATTTTCAGCAGAAAAGTAGAAAATTCAAGTTTCGTGGTTTGTAAAGTACATCATGTTTTTTGTTGAATAGGTAGCCATAACTAAAGAAATATTGAATTTAAGTAGTTAATGAATACTTCAGAGTAAACTAGACAAAATTTTCTTTACATTAAGATAGAGTTTGTTATTGTTAAAACCGTTTTAAGATGAATTCTGAACAGCTAAACTAAGCTAAGTTCGGAAACCTACTGATTGCTTCAATTATTTTTAAACGTATATATTAGGGTTAGAAACATCTACATAGAAACATAGAAAAGTCTATCACTTATAAATAAAGATAAATTCCTGACAGAAATCTGAGAGAAAAATACAGTTTTATAACAACTTTACATAAAAAATATTTGAAAAATCACTCACTATACTATTCTCATTTTTATAAATAAAAAGTGTATTTAGACATTCATGTTTGTACAATTTTATCCCAGATCATGGAAAAACAAAGAATAAAAGCTTTGCAACAGTTGATTGTAGTCATTTTTGATAAAAACATGCGTACTTTTAGATTGACTGGGAAAAAAAATCACTTCATTTCTTTACACAACTTGAGGTGAATTTAAAGTTTTTACATAATCAATTTCAATTTAATTAATATGTATCTGTATTATAGTTTGATAATGATAAAAAAAATCTTGAATAATTTATGATTGTTAGCCGTTCTTAAGTCCTCTTTAAATGACTGCAACAATAAAAAAGGCTACTCTCATTTGAAATAATTTTAGTTTGGTTTGCAGTGAAGTAATTTTTAATTACTTAAATTAAATAGCTTTTTAGTTATTAGTTAGTTATGTATTAAACCTATGTGTATCAAACATTATTGAATGGATGTTGTTCAAATTATTCGCACGGGTCAGCTAGTAAAAGGTATATTTAGGCAATTATGTTTATTACAATACATCCTAGATCATGGAAAAACAAGAAATAAAAGTTTTGCAACAGTTAATTGCAGTAATTTTTGCTAAAAAATGTGTAACTTTTAGGTAACGATAAAAAATCATATAATTTTATACACAACTTAAGGTGAATCTCAAGTTTTAGCCAAATAAGGCTCAACTAAAGTAATATATCTGCAGTATAGTTTGATAATGATACAAAAAAATCGTGAATAATTTATGATTTTTTTTAAAAACAGAAAATAGCTTAGTTTAGCCGCTTAAAAGTCCTCTCAAGGTTTTAACAATGAAAAATTCTACTCTTATTTGAAGTAATTTTTATCTTGTTTACAGTGAAGTAATTTTTAATTACTTAAATTAAGTAGGTTTTAAGTTATCACTTTCTACTTAACAAAAAACATCATTTACTTAAGAAACTACAAAACTTGAATTTCCTAATGTTCTACTGAAAATTGAGCCATTGTTTATATAAACTTTTTTGTACCTCTTAAGGTCCACTTTCACCCCTTTAAGTATTTTCTTCTACTTACGGAACACCCTGTATAATAAAATACAACGTAATGTAGATCCTATTCAATTTTTGTTTAGTATGAGAGAATCTATACCAAGTATCATCTCATGGCATTAGGATTTGTCACTAATAAATAAATATCAATTCCTATGACAGAAATCTGGGAGAAAAACACAGTTTCATAACCACTTTACAAGAATAATATTTGAAAAATCATAATTAAAAAAGAAATTTTTATGAATAAAATATATTTTTAGGCAATTATGTTTACTACAATACATTCCATATCACGAGGAAACAAGAAATAAAAGCTTTGTAACAGTTAATTGCAGTCATTTTTGCTAAAAACACGGGTACTTGGATGTTTATTAAAATTTTTCCTAATAAATCTCAACTTAATTAATATGGACTTAAAGCACATTAAACGAGGAAGTTTTTAACTGTGGTACAGTTGAAGTGTGATAAAAAATCGTGAATAATTTATGACTTTTATAAATAGAATTTGTGTAAAAATTTGAGTAGAAAACAAAAATTTGCATTGACTATTTTATGAATTTAAGGTCATGAGTTAACCAGAGAGTTTAAACGGTTACACAATGCCAAATTGCATGAACTGTATCCGGTTAATATAATTGAGTGGGGTAGACTGAAAGGTAGAAAGACTGCATTAAGGATGATCTGAAGAGACTGGGGTTGGACGGTGACCAGTGGAGGGAGGTGTGTAATAAGCAATTGGTGGTGTTGGCATCGAACCTTCTGGTTCCGACAAGCCTTTTACTAATATTATAAATAGAATAGCTTAGTTTAGCCACTCAAAAATCTCCTATAAATGGTTTTAACCATTTAATATTTTGATTTTGACTATGAAATCTTTTATGAATTTTTAGAACCTCCATTTAGCAAATGAAAATTTGGACGTTATATATATTATTACTACAATCACACTCATGTAATACACTTGAGACACCACAAAGCACAGTGACAATCAGTTTGAGAATCCATGAGCTGAGAAAAAGGAGGCCAAATTCCAATATTTTTACACCGATACATTAATGAATTGTTCGTAAATATATATGGTCTTGAGAACTTAAGCTGATTGGTATATTAATCATAAATAATTAAAGCTTCGAAAAATTGTTTTTTTGTGACAATTTAAACAAATTAAATTTCTATTGTTTTAATAGAAAATATTAGTAACTTTGTAACTTTAAAAAGTAATCATTATGAATTGGCTAAAATATATTATAAAAAGTAAAATACCTTTCTAATAACCTTCTCTTTAAATCAGGAGGGTATGTCACATAGATATAGTGTTCATTTTGCCCTAAATCATCTGAAACTGGGTAATATTCTTCGGAATAATGAGAATGTCGAGCAGGTGATGAGCTTGCAGTTACACTTGTACTTGCAATACTCATGTCATCAGAACTATTTAAAAAAAACAAATAAATTAAGAAAATAAATAACAGATATATTGATAAAAATTATGTAAGCATACAGTGAAACTCTTTTGAGGCGGATATACAGGGGCAAAAAGTTAAAGTAATATACTACAACAACAAATAGATCGAGGAGTTTTGTTCAAGGAGTGTCTATCTCTTGTTGAGCTTAAGTAGCCAGCTGTGATCTACATACACTAGTCGCAATATATTATTTCCCAATTTCTTCATTTTTTGTCAGTATGCCACATCTTTCTTAATACTTCACCAAAATCAATGATTGGGCTTGTTTTCTTTGATGAGCTAATGACAATAGCTTTGATAATTGGATGAGTTTACTTTATTTCCACATTATTTTACATACAGTTCAATCAACTGCAATGACTAGGAATAAATTAAAATAATTACTTAACTATTATCTCTGTTTTGTATGGATTCCACATCACCTCCTCCTCCTCCTCACTAGGCACATTTCAAGAGGTAAAATGGTAAAAAGAAAAAACTTTTTACCATGAGATTGTTCTTTATTACTATCTTCCAAAATAAAAAGTAATAAGTAAAAACTTCATTAGAACAAAGTATTGTTTAGGGCATTAATAAATATAGTTGACATTACAACAGCTGAAACTAGATAACAGTTTTCAACTTTCACCAGCTGAGGTTAACCATTATATCATATATAACAATTTCACAATGTATAAGTGTACCAACTAGTAAACAAATAAATTAAAACTATATATTATATATGGTTAGGGTCTCCAGGTTCCGATCGTCGTCTCGATTTCGGCTGGGATTGTTTCGAATTTTACCTATCTTACGAAGTCTCTAAAATGGTCATTTTTAATAATATTTGAATGAGAGTTGGATAGATATAAAGGTAAATACAAATGTAAATAATCATTACATCTGATATAAACCTATCGGACGCTGGGGACTGTAACCATAGCTAACGTGTTAACATCACTCCAGCGGAAGCTAGATCATAACTTTCAACTTTCATTATCTGAGGTTAACTATTATTATAGATAAATCAACATAATGTCTGGGGACCAGAAGAATGCAAGACATAAATTTAAACAAAAACAAATTTAATTTTATACACTATGAATAGGATTATTTGAGTAGGAATGAAATATAAATTGCTTTCCAATGCAACTTTTGGCAAGGAATTTAACTTTGTATTTGTAATTTTTAAATTTGTAATAGAGAAGGGATTATCAACAAGAGTTTCACTGAATACATACATAAATACAAATAAGTTTGTTTTTCAGAACTTACTCAAAGAGGACCCAGATAATATAATAACAAAGGCAAATAAATAGAGAGAGAGCCATAACAAGAACAAACAAAAGACCCCATGGAAATGGTCTTGTTTCTATGGGCGAATCCTCCCAATATCGATCACATGTTAGATACCAGCAGATAGCATGGTTTAGTTCCTCTGAAAAAGTAGAAAATGTAATTACCACTCTTGATTATTTCAAATGCAGAGTAGTTCAAGCAATTGATCAGTTAGTACCTTCAATATCCTTAAAATCTTCAGTTGACAAATTTACAAGGAGACCAGCAATGCAATCCCTTACAAGAATCTGAAATCATACAACAATTTTGAATTTGATCAACTTAATCATGTTGATTACATCTCACCTATGAATTATAAAATGTTTTGAAATAATCAAATGTGTCCAACTTCTATAGCCATTCATACAGTATGCCGGTTTAACAATCAAGAGAGAAAGGGGCAAAGAGAGAAGAAGAGAGAGAATATGTTGATATAATGTAATGATGAATGATTAGCTAGAATTTAAATTAATAGTAATTGCAATTTTAGATAGATTTTGGTAAGAAAAAGAAATTTGTTGAAATTATGTTTTCGTGTTTGCATGGAATTCAAATTTTATTCAGAGTTGGTTTAGATGTTGGTTTTACATTATATGTGAATTAATTTAAGTAAATATAATGGACTAGGATTGTTCTGAAAATAAAACTTTAGAATGCACATGTGTGGTGGAAGAAAAATTTTCTAGATATATAAAAAAATTAATTTATGAGGAAACCAGATTCCATGCATTAGAATAAGTAACAATAAAGAACACACAAAAGATATGCATATTTAAAACAAAATTTGCAAGATAAAAATAAGAAGAAATATAACAAGAGTTGTTTTTATTTATTAGGTGTTAAACAAAAAGGAGTTTTTGGCTTAATCACAATCCTTGGCTACTACAGAAGGAACGTGATATGTCCCAGGAATACAATACTTTTTGTCAGTATCTATGCAGTTGTTGAAAATGAAATGAAATTTTTTTTTTTCATTATCCTGGGACTATTGTCCCTTTAGGACAAATTATAGATACCGAATAAATGCTTGTGTGACCATACATAAAATTAATTATTTACAATTCTTATTAAGATTAAAATATTGGAAAAAGAATAAAACAATCACTAAAAACATACTGGTATGTATAATACAAACGTGGGAAAATAAAATAACATTAGTGAAGAAAATCATTTCTGGGGAAACCTTAAAAAGTTCTCTAATCTGCATATCATGATCAATCGGGTTGGGAAGAGAGTAGGTGCTTAAAAAGGAGAGATTTAAATGAGGAAACTGATTGTACATGTTGGATATCGACAGAGATGGTAATCCAGAAGGAGACGGCTTGAATTATAAAGGATTTGTCAAACACAGCAGTTCGGTGAGGAGCTGAATAGAGGTCGGAGGTACGAGATCTAGTGGAACGGGATTGAATGGAATATTTAAATTGTAGGTTGTGAAAAATAAAGGAAGGTCGCTGAGTTCTGATGGCTTAGAAAGGTAGCAAGGAAGTACAGATGGCGGTTGGATGGATAGAGCCACTTCAACTTTGTGTAATACTGGGTTATATGCTTACTTCTTGAGATTCTAAAAAAAAAACGTAATGTGCAATTCATTAGGCGTTTAAGTTTGGCCTCGAATTCTCCCGAGTCTGCCGTACACCAGACAGCCATAGTCGAAGTGGGGAAACACATGAGAGGAAACCAGGAGTTGACGGGATTTATATAGAAGGAGATGGCGGAGACGGCTAAACTGTTTCAGGGTAGAGATAGTATGACGGGAAATTTGGGAGATGTGTGGTTTCCAGGAGAGGGTTTGATGAAATGTAACACCAAGGTTTTTTACAGAAGTATGGAATGAGATAGGTGAGTTGTTCAGGAAAATATTGGGGAGTGTCTGTAAGGATTTAAGAGGTGAGGGAGATCCGATCAGGATGGCTTTCGTCTTCTTGGCGTTTAGAGTAATCCTATTGTGGTTTGCCCAGGCACATATTGCATTTATATCTTGCATCATTGCGCTTTGTGTGACTGCAATAATGCAATAGATAAAAATACAACTGCATCGCCATATTGCCGATAGCAGGAATATCACACTCTGTGTGTAGCAGCCTTTAGGAGCCATGCATTAACTGAGTTATGGATTGAATAAAGAAAAGAAGTCATTCTAAGAACAGCCCTGTATAAATATTGATTTAAATTTAAAAGTTTTTAAAAAATAACAAATTTTTAGACTATATATAGCTCAGTGAATAAGGCATTGACTATTGTGCTCTGGATCCCAGTTGTGGTAGGTTACCTCAGCCATGAAACAACCTCAGGATTGGGAGATCCTGCTAGGCCATACTATAAAGACTCTATAAAATGTTTCTCTTAATTAAATAATCAATTAAGGGGAAAAACGTTTTCTTGTTTTACATCAAACTGGCCATTTCTGGCATATAAAGGGCAGAGTTTATTTATACAGATTTAAAAAATCTATTTCAACCATAATGGATAGGTCTAAATTCATTCTGAGGGTCTCCCACAAAATAATTTCCTATTTGCCCAGCCCAGAATCACTGCAACACTGTTTAATGTCTTAACACTCTCCATTATGACAGTTGAGTATGATCTCAACCATGTCACCTCTGTATAGAACTATTGACCAAGAAGTATTACTTCTTAACAAAGTACAGACCCTAACAACGTCGAGATCTGTGTTTTTGTTTGTATATATATATGTGTGTAATTTTTACAGGTGTTTGTTGAGAATAGATTATTTGTAATTATTAAGTAATGACAGGTGTTTAAATATGAAACCGGAATTTTGGTATATTTTCAAAAATATGTGATTATTGTATAAAAATGCTAAAAAATATTTTATTTGAAAAATATCGCTAACAATAGATTCCCATTTCTCTGGCAATTTATGATCGCCATGCAGGAAAAATTGATACTCTTTTTTGGCAAACCTGTTACCAAGCTATTTTTATACATTTTCGTAAGAACTGAAGAGCTATTGAGCAAGTGCTTGTCCTCCATAAATACACAGTAGTCTGGTGAGAAAACCTCATGCCTTAATATTTCCTAATTGAATACCCAAATAATTTCTTTCACTAATTTTGCTGTATGTGATGGTGCAGTGCATTATTATAAAACAAAATCATTTTGGGAGAACAGTTGTTTGCTATTATATGTAAAAGTTAACCTGTTTTTTTTGCGTATTTAAAAAATAACTAATTTAGTACTTATAACTTGTTATTAAATCATGAAAAAGTGTTTATTTAGAACTATATCTATATATCTATCTATATACTATATATCACGCATAATGCATGAAAAATAACAAAATTCTACCCATTTTTATTAATGGAGTGGAAAATTTTCATGAGCTTATTTTATTTTTAGAATGAATAGCAGGGCCAAAAATTTTCAAAACAAAATTGATGATAAAAGGAGTGGCTGTATACCCAGATACATCTGACATCTATAGAAAAATTAACACAGACTTGAGGTTAGAAGTTGCAGATTTCCATACTTATTAGCTCCCAGAGGAGATGTCCAAGAATAGTCATAAAAAATCTCCACCATGTGACACTTTTTTTTGCTCTCTTCTTCCTTTTAGGCTACATGGGATTTTTTTCCGGTCCAGAGGAGAGGGCAGGAAAATTATGTCGAGTTAAAATTCTCATCGGGTACCAGGATTTGAACTCTTAATATTTTCCATCTAACTTCGGTTATCAAGTTGCTGGGCAATATGCAATGCTGTGTACACACGTTAGCCCACTTGGCTACCCCACCCCCTCGCAACACCTGTGACCATCATAACTGGTGAGCTGAAAGAAATGGGATACGAAGCCACTAACATCGTAAATGCATTATTTCTATTTAAACATTTCCTACCTATATTTTTTGTAGATATCGGCAAAAAAATATTTTGGGAAGAAATATTCAACATAATCACATCACAGAATAATCACACAATGCACAAGGTGTTAACAACAACCCTCCAAGGTGCGTGCGATGCAGTGGATTTTACGACACCGCTTCATGCGCAGTATTCATATTTGTGCAAATTGTAGAGGTCAGCATCCAGCAAATTACAGAGATTGCCAAATGTTGAAAAACTTACGAGTCTAACAGAATTCAAGAAATCATCAGTATCCTACAGAAACCAAGCAATTTCAAGTATATCGTGATCTAAAAGAGTTCCCGCCTATCAGACAATGCCTCAACCTAACAGAACCTGAGACTATTGTTGGATTGCAGCAGAACATGCAGAGAAGGCCACACACATCTATTGCAGCACCACATCAGCCAAGATGTACAAGTATAAAGAGGAGCATTGCCAGGCCGGTACCCCCGGTTGATAACGGCTCTGCCATATTATTTACAGCTTTAACGAGCTAAATAAACTAATTCAATCCCTTTTTAGTATTCTTCAATAGTTTTCAGGTTATACAAGCTTTGTGTGCCAATTATGGACCATAATCACTCAACAGTCAGCTACCAGTCAATTCTCCTATGTAACGCCAATGGATTGAAACAGCACAGTACTGAACTTGGCTTGTACTTACAAGAAAAATGGATTGATGTAGCACTTATCACTGAAGCTGGAACTAGAAGAAGCTGTCGAAACATTCACAAAAAGCATTGAAACAATCACAAAAGTGAAAAAAAAAATGCAGCATTGTTCTCATCAACAACTAAGACACAAAAAACTTATACCATTATCCATCATACCTAACAGACTTGATCAACGCAAAAAGAAGAACTCGTAAAATGTGGCAGACTAATAGACTTTCTTTGGACAGACGGATTTTTAATAGACTGAACAACAAACTGAAATGACAAATTCAAATGCATAAACTATGACAATTTCATTAATAATCTTTCGACAGACGATGGAAGTTTGAGGAGACATACTAGGAATCTTTTAAAGCATCCTGTGGTGTCAGCACCCCCCTGAAGAGAGGATGGTTCCTGGGCTGTTTCGGACGAGGAAAGGTCTGAACTCTTTGCCAACTTTCTTTCCTCTGTTTTTAAACCACATATGGACTTCAATGACCCAGAACATGAGAATTATGAACAAAACAATTTAGACACACCACTACAGCCCACACCACCACCACCTCCTTTCACACCACCACAAGTTGCACAAGAAATTAAACAATTGTCGAAAAGAAAACTCCTGAACATGACTTGATAAATGCTGAGGCGTTCCAGCAAATGCCTAGGAAGGCTCTAGTGTTTCTTACTACAATCTTCAATTGCATTCTCAGGACCAACATATTTCCAATTCAGTGGAAATACTTTTACATGATAATGATTAAAAATAACAGAAAAAGACATATGATCCTCCTCCTTCATATAGACCAATTAGCTTGCTGCCAGTATGCTCTAAATTATTAAAAAAATGTTGTATCTATGACTATTAGAAATATTAACAGAGATACAAAATTTTGCTGACCATCAATTTGGATTCAGAAAACTACACTCGACAACACAACAACCACACAGGGTAACTGACTACATATCAATAGCACTAGGGCGCCTATTCTATGTAACTGGAGTATTTCTAGATGTCGCCCAAGCAATCGACAAAGTTTGGCACCAGAGGCTTCTCTTCAAGCTTAAGACCATACTTCCATACACCTACTATCCAATTCTTCATTCTTTTCTCCCAGACAGATTTTTCTTTGAAACGACATGGCTCAGATCTATCTTCAATTTGACCAATTTTAGCCGGAGTACCTCATGATCAATCCCAGCTTCATTACTGCACATCACATACACAAACGACATTCCTGAAAGTACTCACTGCCTTACAGCCACCTACAGAGACAACACTGCTACTAGACATGAAAATTCTACACAGGAGTCAGCTAACTCACAATATCACTTACAAAAATACAAGATTGGTGCAAACATTGGAAGACTCAAATAAACTATCAAAATTCCCAAATATCATGTTTACTCTATATTACTAAGACTAGAAACATGCCCTCCTGTATACTTTGATAACATACCAATTTCACCAATAAACATAATACAATAGTTAGGACTGACATTTGATAGAAGAATGACATGGAGTCCACATATTAAGAAAAAATGTGCCACTTTAAATCTAAGACTTAAATTATTGCACTCACACTTAAGATGAAATTCTAAATTAAAAGCAAGACTTAAATTAAATATTTACATATACCTATTAAAACCTCTCAGGACTTACAGATTACAATTATACGGAATTGCAAAGCTGACACATATAAAAAAACTTCAAACTTTTCAGTCTAAAATACTACGACCCAAGCACTCCGGTACATGAGTAATAACACCTTATATACTGACTTAAGCATCCGGACAGTCAAAGAATACATACAGAAGTACTACAAACAAATCCATGATAAGTTGAAAGAACACTCCAACCAGCTAATAAAAAAAAAATGGCCATAACTCTTATATCGGAGAATACCAGGAGATGACTGAAAAGGGTCTGGATGAGGGACCTACTACATAATTACATAAGTAAATTACAGCCGTGGAAGGAATACTGCTTTTCCTCAAACCTCTTTATTTTATTTATTTATTTTTCTTCTTCTCATTATATAACCAGCACATATGCTGATTGTTAATAAACGTAATTAACAGGTGGATAGTAAAATAAAAAATCACTTTGTGTTACCTTTTTTTTTTATATATTTTGTTCATTTTCCACACAATACTTGATTTAAATAGATTATTTGTTGCCAATAATACTCAGTATTTTAACAGTTTGATCAGGTTTTAACATCTTACAACAGATAACATCAAACACAAAGCATTGTATTCTTCCCATATCGACTTGACTTTGGATTTAACGTTGATGGTTCATCTCGAGTTGCCCATGATATTTGACACTTAGGAATCTCCAAAACTATCCAATTTTCATCACCTGTCCCAATTTTATGGAGAAATGACTTTCTTTTATATCTGCTGAGTAGTATTTCAGAGGTGGTTTTTCAGCTTTCTAGCTGTCTTTCATTCAATTTATATGAAAACCATTTTCCTATCTTCTGAATCTTTCCAATGGCTTTCAAACTTATGGAGAAAGCTTCTAGTGTTACATTCAATTGATCAACGGGTTGTTGGGTTTGAGTATCATCTTCATCCATCAATGCTAGTAATTTCCTGTCTTCAAACTTTTTCGGTGATCTTATCGAAGTTTTTCATTTCTCATACCACCCTATCTGAATTTTTTAAACCTCTCAAAGCAGAGTGATTCAGCAAGAATCCGTTAACCTTTGACAAGTGTTATATGCAGTTTTCTTTAAATTATAACAGAAAATTAATGCTGTCTGCAAATCACAGTTTGCAGCTACAAAAACTTGAGATGTTCAAAACTATTAAAATTATGCTGTTATATGAAGCTTGTATTATTGTGAATTGAAAATTGTTGGCAGCTGAAAAAGAAACAAAATGTAGTCAATAATGTGTTTAATGGTAACTTAACAAGAGCCATCTAAGGACGTATTCCTGTTTCATATCTACACACTTGGTAGTCACAATTTGTTAAATGTAATATTATGATAATGTCAAAATAGTGAAAGTTATTCGAAAAAATCTAGAATTGCAGCAGTTTTGAGCTGTTTGGACTAACGAAATTTATTTTTGCAATATGTAGACTTTACTGATGAGTCCAAAGAACTTACTTCACAGCGTGTTTTCAATTTCTGCAATATGTCTGGTTTACAATTAGCTTTTAATCTTTGAAGTTCACTAATCCTGTGCTTGGGGGGAACTGAAGAATCCACTAAGTTATCACAAATATCTGCAGTACTGTTGATGTCACCTTCAGCTTGAGGTGCATCTGATCTTGCACAACTTCGAACTCCGACAGAACTAAAAAAAAAAATATATATATATATGTATATTTTTTCAGTATATTTTTCTTCTGACACCATGCTGTTTTACACAAAAATACTCTCAAAAGTTTCAACTAAATTTTATTAATGAAGAGAATTACAATTATAACTAGGATTTCCAATTTAAACATATGGATTAAATACTGACACTCTGTTCCAAAAATCTATACAGAACCTACTTGCCATGAGTGGCAGTGTTGCCACTGTACAACAAACATCATGTTTGAGTGATTTACTAAATTTCATATCTTGTAATAAATTTTAAAATTTTACCATTTTATCAAAGATACTTTCCTGAGACACATTGCAGGTGCTTGAAGCAGGTGGCCGTAGTTTTGAGACTCCTTAGACCAAAAAGTCAAACTGAGATTGAATTTTCTTAAACTCAATTAATTTTCCAACTAGATTATATTTTCATTGGTTTAATTTTTTTTTTTTACTACGAATTAGCTATTTTTTTTTTTTAAGTATGGGTTCTATTAATTCCAGATTATAATAATGTAATTATATATTTTGTAAATAATTACATTAACTAGTTTTTTTATTTAAATGTAATTTGTTTACTTTTCTTGTGTGGATTAATTTATTTTTAGAGGAAATGTATTTGTTTGATTTTATAAAGTTTTTTATTTACGATTTGCTGTAAATGAGGAATTGGCTGGCATCACCACATAATAACAAATCAATTGGAAGGTGTTGCCAGGTAACGGATTGGAGACTTACTTTCTTGCAATTAACTGTGACTAATTAGCAACATATTAGTAGGGAAGGGACTTGATATTTTGACTCATCCAAAAAAGCATTTTCAAACTAGTCTTCAATAATTTTTTGCTCTTGGTGTTAATTACCAATAGGAAAAATTAGTGAATTTCAGAATATATATATATATATATATATATATATATATATATATATATATATATATATATATATATATATATATATATTACATATATTCTCAAATTCATTCATTTATACATATTGTTTTTCAAGAGCAATGGTGCGGCATTATTTTTAATGCTTACTTCATTCCCTCTACTATACATAAATCACTGTCATTACTTCACCTTATCTGATTTTATTATAATTTTTTTTTTTTTAAACTTATTTATTGAAAAATATTACAATCTGTCTCTAGGACATTTATAATAGAGTTCACAGATCACATTCACACTCTATGTACAATAAATAAAATAAATTAAACAGAAAAATAATATATATACAATAAATAAGAATAAAATAACCTAAAAATAAATAAATAAATAGAACACATACACACCTATATACAATATTTACAATTTGGCGAGAGAACTCCAAACCAGACTTGTCCCTCCAACTGTGGAGAGAAAAGTATGACTCCAGGAGTTCCCTGCACTCCTCTCTTAACCGCGTCACGAGGGCTAAACCCAGTGGAGATTGAGCAAGAGTGCATTATAATTAAATTATTTAATATTGGTGATCAGCTGACTTTCCAATTTCAAAAGAAATAGAATATTTATTCATTTTTTTAATATTTTGTTAACACTTTATATGATTCAAATAAATTATGTTGAAATGGACTTTTTTTTTGTGGAAATACTATACTATACTGTATCGATTACTATAAATAATTGAATAAAATAGTCACAAGAAAGGGTGCTTCCATCTGTTCACTATCAAGATAAGTAACAGATTAAGCTTTTAAAAGTTTGTCATTAATTTAAAATATTCTAGCTACACTGAAAAATGATACCTATGAGTTGACTGAGGAGGCCGGAAAGAATGCGGTGACACCCTAGCTAGTTCTCTTGGACCAGTTGGACTTAAGGCAGTATGATAAGCTGTTGCTTCCCTCCATATTTCTATATCAGTATTTATTTGTGGTCCTTCACCAGGTTCACTCATAATCTGTTTTCTTAATATATCACAGCGCATAATGTCGCAGTAGTCGGCAAGACAAACAGCATCTTCTGCCTATAAACAATTAGGATATCATATGATTTATTTTAAGCTACTATTATGCCAGAGAACTTTATACAATTAATACTAACTAGATTAACCACATTTTTATGCCTGTTATCGAAATGCATATCGAGATAGGCTTCGGAATAAAAAGACTTTCCACAGAGGCCACATGTCCACTGAGAAGGTCGATGCTGCTGCTTTGCAGACTGTTGTGGCCAAAAAATATCTCTTGTAGGATGAAAAGGACATTCTATAGGTATTTTTACTTGATATTTCTCCAATACTGGTACCCATTTCTAAAATTAAAAACAAATTATCAAAACATAAATTACAACTTTTAAATTAAAGTGTGTTTTAAATTACTTTTTGAATAATCCTTCTAACAACTGTGGCACTGTCTCTTGGACACGAGATCTTGAAAATAGTAGGTCCAGGCCAAGGAATAAAGGATAGCACAAAAAGTGCAAGCACCTACAAAACATGACAGGCACCATTAGATTCAAGATATAATTACAAACAATATATCATTCAATATAAGTTCAAAATTAATAGAAAAACAATTCAGATATTTGGGGTGCTTTAAAAATAAATCAGTCTCAAAATAGCCATGATAGATCAGGTATAGAGCAAATATAAAACAAATATGATAGATGTATTTGTAACCCACCGCTAAGGTATTTTAGGGAGACAGAGTTGTCTGGACTTTATTACCAATCGCATTCTGGTTAATTAAGGCAGTAATCATTAGTTAAACCAGCATTCTAATTTTAATAAAACATACTGATTTTTTGTAAAGAAAAAATTTGGAGTCGATCCAAGATTTGATTCGGGTTTCTTCTTGGTAAGGAGGCAATGTTCTATACTCTCAACTACCTCCTCTCTATCTTTATTTATCATTAAAATCAATTCAGAGGAATCTTTACATAAAATCCTCTCTCTTAGTTCTTATACCTATACTAAAGCTTATTTATAAGATTTTTTTTTTTTTGTTTTTGCAATACTCCATGTTACTTTTTTCTTAGAAAACACCATGAGTCAAATTATTAAATACAATTTTTAAAAAATCAACTTTCGAACTTCCTGGAAGGGTGTTCCATTTTTTAACCTTCTATAATCTGGTTTTGGAGTAATTTACATTCAGAAAAATAACTAGGGACATTAAAGCCACCATTGAATACTAAAAACCAACGATCTTCATCCTTCTACATTTCTCCAAACCATTTCGGAAACAGTGTGTTTTCATTTCTTTAATATGTATGGTTGATCACATCATCCTACATTCAAAAATAAAAAAACTTCCTTTAACCATTTAAATTGTTTTTATCACTGAGGGTACAGAAAAATTGCAGTGGACAATATCAAAGGGCAATAAGGATTCTAAGGAAAAGAATTACAATAAAAATCCACAAAAAGCAAAGTTGTGGTAATTTCTAGAATTTTTTTAATCTTTTCCTAGGAAAAGAGAAGTGCATTTCAAGATGCTATTGACGAATTCCCATACTTAGAAACAATCGTTAGTAACACTACCTCCATAGAAATATCTGGTGAGGAATTATTTTCTGGCAATGTTGGGCTATTATAAAATTGTTGAAGTTCATTTTAAACAGAGCTAAAGCTTCATGTCTAACATCAAGCGTCATGTTTGTAAATAAACGGCCATAATAACGAAAAATGCCTTGAAATAAAACATCTAGACATTTATCTTTCTAAATCAGTGATTAATTTTTATTAAATTTGAAACAGTTTCTTAGAAAATGCACATGATTGGCAGAAAAAGCGGTTCTTCTATAAGCGCCTACTGTCTTCTTCCTCAGTACTCATAATTGGTATAGTTATAGGGCTATAATAATGTATTTGGTATAACCTTTGTTCGTTTGTGTAATAATATGTGTAGACACACTTTAAATCCAGTTATTAAATAAAGTATAAATAAAACTAATACTTTCGATTAACACGATTTTTTCTTTCACTTACTTATATATGTAATATATAGTAAGTGTAAGTACTGTGATTTTGAAAATTTTTGAATCTGAGTTTTCAACGGAAATACACATTTTGAGGTCCCCTGAGTCCAAATAACCAAGTCCCGAAAAATGGTCTGTGTTTGTGTATGTAAACAGTAGGTCAAAAATGAAAAGTCGTGCGAAACTGATAATACGTATTTATGATGGATACATGCCTTAGATGCCCTGGCAACTTTTTCCTTAAAATCGGCTAAGCGGAAGTGCCACTTTATTTCAGCGCTGAAACACATTTTTACAATTTTCTCAAAAACGGCTCTGACGATTTTGATTAAACTCGGTGAATCATTGTATAATTAGGTGGTCTTTAATATCATTGATCAAGGTCTTATCCCCGTTGATGTCACTTTACAGGGCTTAAATGCCCAATGTTCATATGCGTCTGCCTGTAACGTACCTTTAATATGGTTTATTTTATATAATCAACTATCTCTCATTATTAAAACCTACGAAAAAATGCTAAATATAACTTTTGAAAGAATTTGATAGTTGAACAAAGGAGAAAATATAAAAATGCTTATACGGGTCAAAAATGAATCTACAGAAATACAAGTCAGAAGGTATACTTATAAAATATCGTTGGAAAGCGGAGATTTTTTAGAAAAAAACAATATCTAATATAGAAAGTTGTAGAAGGTAACGGAAAGCGGCGAAAAATTTATAAATAATAACGTTTAAATTAAATGAAATTTTCTTACTACATGTAAACTTTTAAACATTTTTTAAAGTTTGAAAAAGTATTTAAAACCCACGGATTCAAGGAAATTACATTGTTTAAGATACTATTTCATGGTACTTGTGTGAAAAAAGAATTGCATATTGAAATATAAAAATATTTCATTGATACGTTTATAACCTTAAATATATTTACTGTAGTTTAATAACTCTAGATCTGATATTATATTTAAATAATTAGGTATCTATCGTTCGTTTATTCCGAAAAATCATTATGTAACCTTTTAGAAAATTAAATTAGTGAATACTTTGATAATTTTCTCCTTTGCGATATTCCAACCGAATCCACTTACAATCAGTGTGACAACTTTTGACCTGTCTATGACAAACAATGCAAATCTCTTAATTTCGTTTTAATAAACTTTACAATGGAAAATAACAGTTTACTAACTAATAGTCCTACAATCCATAATCAACCGGTGATATAATAAATAGGACTTTTGTTATTTTAATAGTATTTATGATTTGTTAGCTGCAATATTTTAGCTTTAGCTCAGTTAAAAATGGAATTCAAAAATTTTATAATAGCCCAAAATGGCTAGGAAATAATTTCTATTCAAAGTTGAGCGGTAAGTGAAAGTTGTGTCTTGCGCGCACCATATTTTTTATAGTAAAATATTGTTTAGCGCCCAGGAAGTGCGCGTTTTTGAAACTGACTATATAAATATTTAAATATCTTGATAAGTGTTAGGAGGAGAAGAATTGATTTGCAATTCAAGTTAAAACAAATTGTTTTTTGCGTAGCAAAGTGGTGCAAAACACCTTATTTTCGGAAAATAAACTTCTCCCACCTTAAAAATACGCCTCAAATAGAGGTCATTTTACATGTGTTTTCATATTGTGAATAGAATGGAACAAAAAGTAAATCGATAGATTTGCGCGTTTTCGTTATAATGACGGTATTATGTTTTAAATTAAAAAAAAAAAAAATATATATATATATATATATAAAGAAAAATAAATTTAATAGTTCAAGTCACTAGCGGATTCAGGATTAAATTGGGGGGGGGGAGTGAGCTTCAGCCGGAAAGTTTTTTTTTCATATGTATAAGGATAATTAATTTGAAAAAAAATTAAAGAAATTAACTACCTACATGAAATAGTGTTTAAGCGATTCTTGAAGTTCTATTAAATGTAATTACACGAACAATAATACTTAAAGAAATAGTTTTTAATATTTTTTTTCTATAAAACATGATTATATTTTACCATTTTGGGGAGGGGCTTCAGCCCGAAAGCCTACCCTCCTTCCCGTAGACCCACCTGTGGTTCAAGTTAACATTATTGAGAGAAAACTGATAATTTTTTTTTTTTTTTTTTAAATGACATAGGTTTCAGCTCTGTTGAGACTTATGATTTTATTTTAATTTTATTCATTTTTCCAAATTTATAACATTTTCAAGGAAGTTGGATTGAGGACATAGGCGACTGGGGAGAGGATAGTGGAAGGTTTTACATTCTCCAATAATTTTAAAACCCAAACAGTTATAAGATTTGAGAACCATTTTTAAACAGTATAAATTAAGAAAAAAACATTCACTTAAAGAGTTACTGAAATTTAAAACAAATATTAAATACATATGTGCTTTTTTAGGTGAAACATTTTTAATATTATAAAATAAGGCTGTTTTATTTCTTCACCATATTTATTTATAGCTACTTCACCATAACTACGTTTTGGCTGGCAAGCCATCTTCAAGCCATTTCATCCAACCATGCTTTTCGCATGTAGTCCACGGGCGGATCTACCGGAGGTAGGGACTTTCGGGCTGAAGCCTCTCTCAAAATTGTAAAATATAAGCATGCTTGTAAAATATAAAATTTAAAAAAATTACCCCTTATAGTATTAATGCTCGTGTAATTAAATTTAAAAGGACTTCAGGAATCACTTAAACACCGTTCCATATAGGTAGTTAGTTTCTTTCTTTTTTTCCAAAGAAATTATCGTAATTTTTATGAAAAAAAACTTTCGGGCTGAAGCCCCCCGCAAATTAAATCCTGGATCCGCTAGTGATGTAGTCCAAAGACAGATTAAATTAAATTAATTGATGGTCGAAACGTAGCTACGTAGATTGAAATAAATATGGTGAAGAAATAAAACGCAGCCTTATTTTAAAATATTAAATGAATTAACTTTTAGGCTAAAAAAATAAAATTTTACTGAAAACGTTCTTTTTTTTAATAACTAGTGTGTTTTTAGTAACTTTAATAAATATACCACAGACAAAATTATAGGAAAATTTCAAATTTTGTAATCGTTGTTCAAATTGTTAAACAAACAGCGTTAATGGATTAAATCATGACAGATTTCTATTTATTACAGAATGAAAGATCCTATTTTTATTTGAATTGCATTAGAAAACATTGATAGTTCATCAAAATTTAACATAACATTTCAAGTTCCGAACCAACTAATGTTTCACTCGAATACGCCTAATGACTGCTATTGACTGTGATAGATGTTCTCTTATACATATGGATGTGATTAAATTAGTAACTACCAAGAAAAAAGTAAATAAATAACGGTAATTTCTTGATTCCTAGGTGATTGATTGAATTACACAACTAACAATTTCTTAACGTTATATAAAATTTATACACGGAAAAACCACTCATACTATTAATTAAGAGAATATAAGCAAGTAATTTTTTTTACAGAATTTACATTTTGATACCTACTATCGAATGGAATAAGTCCCAGCATGTAGCTAGTTGTTTGTT